GAGCTCACCGTAATAATCTTATATGCATGAGTACCACATGTCGCACTTCACGCTTGCAATTGCGGAATTCGGTGTTTATATTGTTAATGCGCAAAGCAAGAACCGACATCTGGCCGCAAATATGAAAGACAAGGGTGACCATAATACAATCGGTAGCGCTTTGTCCAAAACCACTGACAAAGACAAATGGCATTTCCACGACATATGCAATTATGTACGCATGCACGTTTTCAATCGCATAAAATAGATGAAAACGATAAGGCAATAAATAAATTATTTGAGTCACATTTTCATTGATCATTATTTTGGGTAGTCCTGAGAAAATATATAACTATAACATTAACTATAATATTATTATTAATATTAAAAAAATTATCCCAAATTAAATGTTTGTCTGCATTCTTTTTGAAAAACTTAAAGAATTACGCAGACTTTAAAGATTTAAATGAAACAATAATTTGTTAAAAACTTGAAAACTTGTGTGTTTTAGAGCAAGTAATAATAAAATTGCGGGATATTTTATACATCTAAATTGACAAAATTCTTTATTTCTTCATTTTTTCACATTGTTTTATTTATGCACTTCTTCTAGATCTGGAATTAAATTATATAAAAAGTTAAACATAGCTCACCACTTCCGAGGATGATTATAATCGGAGTTAAATAATATGATGAAGCTGTTAGAGCAACAAATGCCATCAGTAACTTAACGAAGATCTTTGACCTAGCATTGTAGATCAAGAATGTCTTTATCTCCTCGACGGTTTTATAATTGGTCCTATCAAAGTCCTTCATGGCCTCCATTATGATCTCACCAATTTCATTGTTATATAACCGCAACATACTCATTCCCACAAATATCTGCGAGAACGCCATGTTTTCTGTCAAATTCATAATCACATGTTCAAGATCGCCGATGAAGAGAAAGAAATCTAGATATTCCAGAATCATGAAGAAACCGAAATAGCCAAAGTTAATTGAGAAGATAAAATCATTAGATTGGAAAGGCCAAAGGCCCAGAGTTGACATTAGTCGTTTATTCCAAGCTAACACCTCAGCCGCACGATCCAAGTCTTTTTGATCCTGCGAAAAACATCATATTTCTGTAATTAATTGTCAAATAATATAATTGATATCTTACAATTATTTTCGACGTATGTTGTAACGTTGGCGAAAAGTCTACAATTTTCTTACTTGCATCGTATACTCTACGCTGTTCTTTCCTCGAAAGTTCGCATGAAACTGTACGGAATATACGAACGCAGGAGCGCAAGTAATCTCGGTTTTAGTACTTACAACCGTCTATAGAATGTCTGGGAATGAACGATTATAGATCAAACAATAATTGCGCCCAAAATTAACGTATGAATCGCATATAAGCGTGTTACTTAAACCACCTGTGCTTTCGAATTCGAAGGGAAATTGGTTGTATTATCCTTCACGATTGGTTCTACATCGACGACATTGTACAATTTGTACGATTGCAAATCCAAATTGTTTCTGAATGAACAATATGTGTACAAAAAGTCCAGCAAATCGACTTACTGAACTTTCATCGCAAAAATATCGTACAGTGTAGTCTTGATGATAATTTCAGAATAGTATTTTGATCATAAATTTTTTCTTTTATTATAAAAAAAATCTGTGTACTAAAATTACATTTAACTATATATTTTAGACATTCTAACACATATAACAAAAAGATTTCGGACATCAAAACGTGAACAAATAATTGAAATATTTAAATTTCTAAAAGACCATAAATTTAGTCATGGTTATTTTAACAAACTTTAATATTTTTTTCTTCCATTTCTTTTAATTCGTATCTTTTGTTCTTTCTACTGAAACAAGTTTATGTAATACATTGAAATCAAATAAATTTAAAAAATAATAATTGTTTAATCTTTACTGTCAATTTTCTCAATAGCAAAATATATTTTAATTTTTCTACGTTTTCTTCATTAATCAACTTTATAAAAAATGTATTTAATATCATTTTGATTTGTATATCATTTTCTACTTTTATTATGATTTTTTGAAATATTTTATATATTGCGCGTAAATTGTGATAATATATACTGCAATGCAAAATGTATGCTTAGCGTATATTCTAAGTGTATTTCTTTATCTGTAATATACAGATTCATTTAGTGTTGTGAATTATATATAAATTTTCTCATAATTCTTCATAATAGAGTACGCAGCATCGACAAGTACGCCAAGGAAGTTTTGAGGACCTGTATAAATATACATATAATATTATTAAAATTTGAAAATTGCATTGGTTAAAAAATGTCTAAAAAGAAAAATAGAAAAATTTGAATGTGCGACAGTTTGATAAATTTTGATTTATTAATACAGGTACAGGAATGAATAATAAATCAAAGTTATTATATCGATTTTTTATGCATTTAAATCTTTCTAATTGAAAAGTTTATTTCCAAATTATCTAAAATTTATTTAAAAATAAAAATGACAAAATTATGGAAATTTTTGTAACATATATAATTTGAATATGAATTAAAAATAATTCGATTTAAAAATAATTCGATTTAAAGCTCCTCAATAATTGCAATCATTAGTGTAATGTTAATTTGAAAAATTCTATTTTTTGATGATGATGAAATTCTATTTTTATCATCATCATCATCATCATCATTACTTTTTTGTACAAAAATATAATTTAAAAATATACTCACATCCGTAAAACTGCTTAAAGAAAATATATAAAATTTTCCGGCTGTTAAATAAAGCATCACTCGACCCCGAATCATGCATATCAGCAAACACTTCTTGCAATTGAATGGCATTTCGTACCAGTTGCACTGATAGTACGCGTCCTGCACGTTTATGCACTAAAACCGAAACAAATAATAATGAATATTTAACATAAAATTATTATATAAAAGTATTGTTATTATAAAAAATACAGATAAAGAACATAAAATTTAAAAAGTGATATTTTAACATATGTTACATGTTTGATATCTATTTGTTAATAAGAATGTAAAAAGTTCCTTGAAAAATGTTATTTTAAGATATTAACTTCCGAGTAACAAATGTTTAATCTAAAAAAAGAAAAATAGAAAAAATTTAAGAATGAAAAGAGAATTATTTTGGGCAAGTCTTATATCATTTTCTACTAAATAAATTTTGCTATTGGATATCAATTATGTTTATTTGCTCTATTGCGTACGCAAAAAGTTCATTCCTGTATATGGCATTGATTATTTATTGTTTTCTTTTTTCACGATACCTGCTGAGTTAGTTGATCGCCAATCAAGCAATATCCGAAGAGCATAACAAGCGCAATAATAGCGAAAAATATAAACGTGCAGCAGGTCGCTATTTCTGAAATATCCAAGTTCTGAAAAAATATAAAGTGTCCGCATGAAATTATTGACATCATAATGCTTTTTTTCTTGATGTAGCCTCATAGGAAAAAACTAAAGAGATGTAATGAATATGATAGTCATAAATAATTTCAAAAATTGTAATAAAATGTTTTCTACCGACTAGTACTAGTCAAATTTTTAAAATAATAATAATTAATAATAATTGATAATGTGACATACCACTATGACGTAATACATCGAAATAGCTAGGACAATACTGTTGCCAAGTAGTTCATCCAAAAGAATCAAATTGAAAGTATTGTCCACGGATTTTGCCATCCTTCAACCGTAATAATGTTCCAAGAGTATTTTATGTGAAAAGAATGAAAGAAGCAAATAAGAAGATCTGTGAGTTATTACATATATGTTTGCATTATTATTACCATATTATTTTAAGATGCATTCGAATAAAACTGCGAATTCTGTCTATTATTACTTCGCTTTGCGAGCATTCCCCAATGTTTCTGATACGATACGATAAAATGGACAATTCGCCGCAAATATGAAATACTAAAATAACCAGTAGGCAAATGGCTGCCATGTGACAAATAGAGATGTAAATCAACGGACATAAGTATAGATATACCAATATATACGTATGGATGTTGTTAGTGTCAAAAAATGCATGAACCCTATAGGGTAACATAAATGATTCCGTGCTGTTACGTAATGCTGGAAAAAACATGAGAAAACGAAGAAATATTAGCAATAAAGGACCAATTCTACTTTAACCAAATAAGTATGTTGATAATAAAACTTTAAAAAATACAAAACAATTTATTTATTGTACTGCGGTAACAAAGACCGTTTGATCAATATTAAAATAACGTAATTTAAATATCTGCATATTACAGATACAAGAGCTACGACAAATGTAACATATTTATATTTACAAAAAAGAACAGATAAATACTTGAGAATTTCACGTACCTTGATTGGAGAGCAAGAGATACACAAGTGGTCTAAAATATAGCAACATGACCGTGATGAACATGCCAACAATCGAAGTAAATGTAAATAGCTTGGATATGGAATTATAATTGTAGTAAATTCTTTCTTCCTCCAAATTCTCGAATTTGCGTTCTGCCAGATCCTTTTTGATTTCTTTAATTATGAGCTTTAGCATATTACTACAGCGTATCAACCACATAAGCGGGAATGTTATGGAATAAGCTACCGTTTCCACGATATTCATCACCATCAATTCCAAATTACCAAAAACCTTGTAAAAATCAGCATAGGCCATAACGAGATAAAAAAAATAGTGCGTGATATAAATCGCGAAACGGATGTACGTCTTTTTGAATGGCCATATTCCTCCAAAGGAAAAGATCCGTTCTAAGTGAACAAATAAATCTTCGATATGATCGTCTTTGTTCTGTAATATTACATGTTTTCAGTAGCCAAAGTATTATAATATTGGGGTTAAATTATATTATTATGAGAGAATATATATTAATAGTTAAATAAAAATTGTATTACGATACGATTAATAGTTCTTAATAAGCCTTCTTGGCAAAACGTTGTCAGATAGTTTTCGTAATGGAGAAGATTAATGTCTTACTTTCATAGCAAATCGAGTTGTGAATTTCCATCAACTGATCCTCCGCGACTGTGATTCGTTTTCTTACGAATTAAACTATCGTGATGCTTACATTAATCCATATGTGATTGAAACATATAATATCTGGATTAAGCACACATTTGTATTCGTACTTATTTTGTCATTTTGCTATTTTAGATTCTATACCCTTAATATATATTTGATAACATAAGAGTCTAATAGCTAAGATTTGCTCCATTAAGTTGTTATTAGCCATTATTTTTTTTTTTGACGTATCAATTATCTTACGGTCTGGGAAGCAACATTATTCTTTTGTTTTTTATCGTATCTATAAGTTTTCTATCTCTTTATATTTAATACAGCGTAAAAAAACTACAGCGATAAACATGATACGAATACCATTAAAGCTTTCAATGCTCTTATAAATATTTAGTAATATTATTAACGTAATTATCTTTGCATGTATAACACAATAATTCTAAGCTTTTCCGGGCTTTACTGTCGTTTGAAAATATTTTGATTGAAATGATTAACAAAGTTTTATTTTTAGAGGTATACAGTTATTCTGTCATTAGCTAAGTTCGTGGTGATATTTATCCACAGCTATCAAATTTATTTGTATACAATAAAAAATAATCGACAAAAAAATTAAAATATGAAACACAATAAAACAAAATACAAAAAAGTAATACAACTAAGTACAAAAATCTTTTATAAGTTATCTTTTATAAGTTATCTTTTATAAGTTATCTTTTATAAGTTATAAGGAGATCTTTTCGTGAATTTCAGAGAAAAAAATGATATAATAAACGGTACAATTGGATTTTATTTTAATTAATTTGGATTTTATCTTAATAAAATTTTAATTTAATGCTTACTATATTAATAAATAAAAACACATAATCTTTCTTCCTTAATTTTGATATGGTATATACAAATCAAATTAAAAAGTATGTATTTTTTTTTACTCTTACTTATATTAAGAGAATTAAGAAAAAAAATATTTTCTTAAAATGTCAATTTTTATATTTCTACATATCCATTATTATGCGGTAGTAAAAAATACAAGAAAACGTTGTATAAGTATGTTTTTACTTCAATTATTTATTTTTATATCATTTTCCAAATTTCTAAATTATTTTATTCGCAAATGTGAATGGAAATAAATAATAAAATAGCACTTATATGTTTTATTTGTGAAATCAATTTATTGCAATTGTATAAATAAATGTATACACAATGTATACATACACAAATGTACTATGCTTTAATTTATATGTAACATATATTCCCATGTAACATAAATGTTCAGAAAACATTCTAGAGACGTCTATAAATATTCGGATATCTCTAAGACATCTGTAGAATGTTTTTTGAATTAATGCTGTATGGCTTATTATTTTATACATTAATGCACAAATTTTATGATTAGTTAGTTGTATAATAAAGAGTAAAATCTATTTTTTACGACTAATTTTAACATTTTTATGTTTTGAAAAGATATTTTTTATAGCAATGTGCGTAACATGGATATATATGCCATGCAAGTTTTAATTATTTATAATAATATAAAAAAATATATAGAACATTAATACTCAATCAAATTATTAAAAAAATTTTCACTATTTACATTAAAGCATCTTAAATAATAATATAACTAATAAATATATCATTAGTTTCATTAATAATCTAATTATAATAAATTTAAAAATTAGCATGCTTTAATCTAATTTATTTCCTCTAATATTGCTATTTATCTCTGTAAAACTATACAAGAAAAATATATAAAATCCTCCACCTGTTAAATGCAGCAATGTTTGCGCATGTATCATGCATATAAGCAAGGATTTTTTACAACTATTTGGCAAGTGTCATTTGCTGATAATACGCCTGTTGGACGTTGACACACTGCATTAAAAGAGAAGTCAATTCAATATCACAATTACGTGTATAACTTTCGAATTTTTATATATAAATATACCTGTTGCATTAGTTGATCTCCGATAAAACAATAAGCATACAGCATTATAAGCGCAGCAGTATCAAAAAAATCGAATATAAAAGAAACTGCTATTTGTCTTAAGTCTATGTTCTATAAATGATAAAATTTATTTGTAAATTTTAGATTAGTTATTATATTACATCTAAATATATTTATATCTACTAATTAAATTGATGATTCTTATGACCAGCATTTATCTCTTTTCATGTTGACATTGAAAATTACTGCTAAGAAATAAAAAAATTTTAAACAAAATCTTAATACTCGAGATTTTTAAGTACGAAGATTATAATTAAAAAATATAAAAATATATTTACAATTATTGTGTTTTACAATTTATATATTTACAATTTTATATTTTATATATATATATATACATATAAAATACAAAATAATACATAATAAAACATCGATATGGCAAGTATGAGCATATTGCCTATTAGTTCATCTAGAAGAATGAGTTTGAATCTAATTTAAGGATTTTGCCATTCTAATATTACAGTAAAAATTACACATTTTAACATTTAGAAAACGTAAAAAATCACGTTTTAGGAATATACATTTTATTTTTTAATGCTTGCATATTACAATGTACGATTTATCATATTATTTTATAGTGCATTTGAACACATGCTGCGATCCTATCGCTTATATCACTATTAGAATATTTTTAATACAGTATGACAAAATAGACAATTGAGCACAAATGTGAAACACTAATATCACCAGTATGCAAATAGAAGTCATATGAGTGCAAATAGAAGTCATAGACACGTAAGTCATAGGGCAGAAATAAAGATACATCAAAGTATACATACGAGTGCTATCCATATTTAGAAATAAATGAACTTTGAATGGTAGAATATAGGTGTCGTTGAATATTTCTAAAAATATAATACATGTAAAGAAGAAGTTTAAATAACAAATAAAAATGCTATATCATATTTCTACATTTTTATATTCTACATTCTATATTTTTTGAGTATTACTTATTATAACATATAATGGCTTAAAATTTATTTGTGTAAATATACCTGAGTTACTCGAAAAAAAAGTAATCAATGGGCTCAGATACAAAACTGTTACTGAGATCGTTATATACTGATACTTGAAAAAATATCTTCGACATATAATTATATTTACAGTAAAGTTTTTCCTCTTCGTCATTTTCAAATCGGCGTTTTTTAATGTCTTTCTTGGCTATGACGATTATATCCTTCAGCACATTATTCGCACGAATTATACATACCATTACGTGAGTGTATATGCCATCATTTCCATAATATTCATCACCATCAATTCAAGATTACCAAAGACATCGATCAAATTACCAAAAATCATCACCAGATGCATGATAAAATATGCAATGTATATCGTAAAGCGAATGTAATTCGGTTTCAAAGGCCATATTCCGCCAAAACAAAGTATTCGTTCCGTATAAAGAAATAAGTCTTGAATAGGATGTGTAGAATTTAGCGTATTTGTTTGAAAATGTCACCTCCTTTGTATGCAGAATCAATATAAATCACTCTTATATGAAATCTCTCTCTCTCTCTCTCTTTCATTCAAAATATAATTAAGATATATTTTAAAGATTATCGTTATTAATTAATAATTAGTAGAAATTTATTTTATTAATAGTTATTAAAACATTTATATCTTATTAAAATATCTATTAATTTGAAGAAATTGAAAAAAATATTAATTAAAATTTAAAAAATTTTTTCCTTATTTAAAATATATTGTTATAATTGAAAATTAAAAAAAAAGTTAATAAAATATATACTAAAAAAAATATATATATA